CCGCCATAATTGGTTAAAATTATTTAAAAAGTGTATCTAATGGAGTTAAAGGCCCACTTCATTAATCTTGTCAGATATAACCAACAATAATACCTTATTTTCCAACACTTTTTAAACATGTTGTCGGAAAACATTTTATCCGACAGTAACAATATAAAACCGCCAACACTAACCGACACAATAAGCCAATTTTGTAGTAGTGATATTTAAGAACTTGTATTTGGTAATTATACTCTGAACCAATTCTCATGCATGTGATTGAGGATCAGACACCATTAAGTGTGGCTCTTAGAGGATGTGTTGAAACAAATGCGATTATCTACATGTGGTTTGATTTGACCTTATCCCTATTTTAGGAGAAGCTCTGCCGAATTTTCAGTAGATTTTAATATTTAATAATTTAGTTATGACTTCATGCATATTATGGCTTTCAAATCCATCTCGAAGATAGCCAACATGCATCGGTTTTGGTGTCCAATAGACATTTGCGTTGGGGTGTGTCATAGAAACCAAAGTTCTCTTGCAAAACAACCTTTAATTTGGTTTTACATTCATTATGATTACATATTCTACTCATTTTCTACACCTTGTAAGGTTTTTCAAATTATTTGTATCAGAGAAGTTTATTTTCAACTCCATATTTCATTTATTTTCATTTTTTTGGGTGCACCAAGCGTGAGGTTTCCACCAACCCTGAATTCAAAAGTGTGACAGATGACTCAACCTTCTCTTCATTAAACGAAGAAGGTCACACTTGTTTTCTTGAAGAATGCCAAGAATTGACGTGGTTTGCCACCACTTTGACTCATCTTGATCCCCGAACAAAATGCGAAAGAGAAGTGCTTAGAATCCTAAACCTTCAAAGCATTGCTTAGAATATGCTATATGCCCATTTTGCTCTTGCGACAATCATAAGATTACACATTCCTGTTGCCAATATCCCTATAAGGAATGATGTTCCTAAATTCATCCTAGTCGGATGTCATGTTGTAGAAGAACATGTCTAGTGTTTTGGTCCTTTTGTCACTACCTCTATAGTTCCACCAGTTGACATTGTTTTGGATCCCGGAGAACTTTGAGATACTTGTCTAGAAGATAAGTAGAAATGAAACAAGATCATCATTAACAGTGGTGGATCCAGGAAAAATTATTTGGAGGGTCGTATGTAAAAGTTCACAAACATTTCTTAGACATATAATAACCTTAAAAATTAAACCATAGCTCCATCATTCATAACACATAGAACAAAGAACAACACAAGTTACAATTGTCCACGACGCGATTTCATATTTTAAAATGCTTCATTATAGCTTCATTATCAATGGAAGAAAAAAACATTACTCTCAATATAAACTATCATGCTATCATTCAACCGTTGATCTCCCATTCGATTACGCAATGGACCTTTCACAATATTCATAGCAGAAAAGGCTCCTTTCAATGAAGCAGTAGCAGTTTCTTTCAATTAAGAAAATTCACTACTCGAACACATGTCAAGAAATAATGCCCAAGTTGATATTGAAGTGCGAAAAGTTGATAAGTAGAAATTTCATTCTAACAAAATTGAGCAAAACGAATTAGCTTTTGTTCATCAAAAGCAGAGAATGAATCATTCGAAATCAAACATCCATACAAAGAGACAACTATGTATTTATCTCATCAAAGTGACAATTTAATTCCACACATCAATTGATCTAAATAAAAACCATATATGATTCACATCAACGATCAAATCTAATTATTCATAAAATAAAATTAATTTGAATAAGTTATGAAAAACTTAATTTAAAATTTGAAAGATGAAATTTGAGTGGTCATCAAAATTATCGCCAGAGTAGGATGGTAGGAGTTTGGGCTTAGGGATTGAGTTTGGTGGGGTTGGGATTTGAAAATGGGAATTGGAAATTTGGAATTAAGTGTGGGGATTGGGGTTTGTGGCTCGTTACAGCCTACAAATGGGATTTTTTTATTTTTTTTATTTTTTATTTTTTAATTTTTTGCTGCTGCTACTGCTTTTTTTCTATAGAGTAACTGGCACAAAATGACGTCGTTCCACTTCTGATCATCAATGGTGTGTATGCTTATGATGTGGCCACTGGAATAGTAAAAAGCTACGACACCGAACCATGATCCTTTGTTGAAGCGCAAATTCGATTCGACTAGCCAAAATCAGAAGAAGTTGTCTAGTTCAAACTTGATTTTATAATGTAATGTCACGTGTTTGAACCAGTTATTCCAGCACCCTCAGACATATAGGCTTCATAATGAGGTCGTACAATATAAGAGCCCTCTCTTGGTGCAAGGTTTCTCACAACGCTCTAAGATTGAATAGGAGGAGACAAATTCTCCCATAATGAATGTTATTACGTTCCGCTACTTAATCGGATTAGTAGTTATTGAGTATGCAGCTTATCAGCGTGGTCAATGCGTTCTTTATAAAGATTCAGATTGAAAATTATATGAAAGTCCTAGTAGGATTGATTATACCTAGATCAATGTGTTCCCATCTATGGAACACACTTCCAATTAAGTTGAAGCATTCACTATATGGTTGAAGTATTTGATCAAAATATGATATGTGAACAACAAATTATACCCATGCGTATTCACTAAGACCATCAATTCTGGTTTTGTGATAATTACAGTATATATCGATGACATGAACATCATTGGAACTCTAGAAGATATCCAAATGATTGATATGCTCTTCAAGAAGGAATTTGAGATGAAGAATCTAGGTAAGACTTAGTATGTATATGCCTGCAAATCGAGCACTATGAAAACAACATCTTAGTCCACCAATTGAACTACACTCAGAAAGTGTTGCGACGATTTAACTTCCTAAAAGAGAAGTCAGCTAGTACTCGCAGGGTCGTTCGATATTTGGATCCTAAGAAAGACCTTTTTCGTTCTAAGAAAGAAGATGAAGAGATCTTGAGACCAGGATTCCTCTATCTAGTGTTATTGAAGCTTTATTATTCTTAACCTAGTGTACTAGACCAGACATCTCATTTGGTGTGAATCTCTTGGAGAGATACAATTTCGTGCCAACACGCTGCCACTGGAATGACATCAAAGACTTATTATGATACTTTAATGGTACTATGGATATAGGCATGTTTTATACCTATGCATCCTCGAAGTCTGGTGCGCTTCTTCTTGCGTTTGCCAATGTTGGGTACCTATCAGACCCGCACAAGGCACATTTCCATACAGGTTATATCTTTACCATCAAAAACACCGTTACATTCTAGAGTTCTACGAAACATATCTTGGTTGCTACCTTGACTAGTCATGCTGAACTCATAGCTTTTTATGAAGCTAACTAGGAGTGTAGTTAGCTATGAGTTGTGATTAAGCATATTTGAAGTACATGTAAGTTAACCTTTGCTACTGACGACCTACCGATCATCTATAAGGACAACATTGCATGTATAAACTAGTCAAAGTTAGGTTTTATCAAGGGTGATGCCATCAAACACATAGCACCCACAATTGCAAGAGAAGACAATTAAAGTCCGTTATATTGGTTCCCAAGTTAACCATGTTGACCTATATACAAAATTTCTGCTTAAGAGCTTATTCTAGAAGCACGTTAAATTATTGGGCTACGTAGGCTTTCAAAGCAAGCGTAAGGAGTCTCATCGATGCTAGTATTCAGGGGAAGCACCTAGCCGTGTGTTAGTCAGGGGAAGGGATCCCGAAGATAATGTTGTGTGGCCTGTGTACTCTTTGTCCATTACGAAGTTTTCATTGCGTTGGGTTTTGCTTAGAAAAGTTTTTTTAATAAGACACCAGTTATGGTCTTCCAACCTAATAGTAACGGTCAAATGTACTTGAGCATGCCTAGAGTCATGGAAGTCCTTCTAATGAGTTTTGTCATTCTCAGGGGGAGAAATTATCATAAGTACGGAGTTTTCTCCCTACCGATTACCAGTTTTTCTCCCTACTTGGATTTTTTTGGATCTTTGAGAAAACATTACATTTTTTAGAGAGACGAAGATGGGGCATTGACTTCGAATTCTAGTGATTACTCAGCTAAGCAATTTGTGAACGTCGAAGGAAAAGTGTTGCAGGACATTTATGTATGTCCACTAATTAGTGTAATCATTGAGTCATTGATTCATCAAATGCATAGGTCATTCATTCTTCAATTGATTGGGCAATTGATTGTCCTTACTGAATTAGGAATATTTGTGTAATATGTCAGAATAGGCACACATTATATAAAGATGACAATGCCTCACATTGTAATATATAAAATTTCTCTAATAAAAATTCCCTCATTCTTTGTCAAATTATTTTTCTCTACAACATCTCTAAACTAATGAGAAGTTAATAGAATTAATAAATATATATTGACAGTTAAAGGTTGACATATTTTTGCAATTAATCTTGCAAATCTAAGCTCAAATTTTGGACTCCCCCACCCACCACCCCCCCCCCCCCCCCCCAACGCAATCTTGCATCTAGATTGGTCCTCCGTTGGTTAGATTTTCCTCCTTTCTCAGTTGTCATTAGTTTTGACTGCTGAGTCCAATGGGCTAGCTCTACCTAGATCCGTCTCTATTTAGTTTGTTTATTCGGCCTTGTCCCTAGTTATATTTTATTTAGGCGAACCTTGTCCCTAGTTCACAAAATATGTATATTATACCATCACCTTATGACTATTTAGCATTCATGTTGAATGTAAATAAGTTGGAACAATGTAAAACTACCCTTATTGAAAGAAAAAAAGTGCAAAGATGGTTTGATTTCTTAATATTCTCATTGAATTTCAAGAGGACCCAAAAGAATTAGTAACAAACTTTCCCATCTTGCAATGTTGCTTAATGATCAAAACTGTTTACTTTTTATATTGTCCTTTAAAGATCGTCTATGCAAAAATTTAACTAAATTTGAAACCATTTAGTCATCTATTAGTTATCTAATAGATATTAAGGGTACAAGTGTAATACAGTTAGAAATACAATTAGTAATATAGTTAGTAAGGTTGTTAGGAGTTCTCTTATAAAAAACAGTGTGTAATCTTCATTTTTTCAATCAATACAAAATCCTATTTCTCTCTCTCTAAAACTCTCTCTAATGTCTCTATGTTCATCCCTTTGCTCATCCTTTCTTCTTGACTTTCCCTTCAATTCCCAAACATTGCAATATAGTTAACATGGTATCAGAGCCAGCAGGCTGAAGCCATTGATTCTGGTGGTTTGTATTTTTTTTTATTAGATTTCATTTTTCTAGTTTTATTTTCTCTTCAGATTTTGTTGAATTTTTCGTCAAGTTCTTTGGTGTTTCCTTTTTCTTTCTGATCCCCGAATTGGAGAAGGAAGCAAAATTAATTTCTTACTCAGTTTTTGTTGATGCGAATCGGCTGAGAAGGAGCGTTGTTTTGAAGATCCTTGGTGCCACTAGTGTGTTCCAGGCGGCTCTGTTTCTTGAAGGGGTCCATACACTCGGGAAGTAGAATCGCTTGGCGATTTGATATGGGTTCATTTTTTTTTTTAAGAGAAATTGCAACCCAGATGACAGCATCAACAACTTAATCCACACAGAGATTGAATTCAAGTTCCAGAGAGATGAAGCTTTTGATCATTCCAAACTGGGTTTTGGAAGTTCGATCAGAATCCATCACATGGGCTCTCAACGAACAACAAATGCTCAGTCGCATGTGTTATTTCATACTAAACTTTGTTCTTGCCGGGTTCCAAAAGCAAGATGTTTCTAGAAGATTACCTTATCTTCATTCAGTCCAACTCTCACCTCCATCTCACCGTCGCTTATCTCAATCAAATCATTCACATGCACGAATACAAGAAGATCTACAAAGTTCCCAAGAAATGTTTAAGCGATGCCATGAGTTTGCCGTCATTTGACTGACTTCTGCTAATTTGTGATTGAAACGGAGGTGAAGATCTTCGTTCATATCTTTTCTAGTTCAGGTACAGATTCAAGGTTCGCAGAATTGTCAAGTTTGTTCATATTTTGCACTCTATGCGTTTGATGGAGTGTCGCAGTCAAAGTTCTTTGCTTCAAATTGCATAATTGTTAGAGGTCGATAGGCATTTCCTTTTTACGTCCCACTTTAGAAAGGCTGAAGCCAGAAGTGTGTGTGAGCGAAAAAGGAAAGCCATGGTTACTGCTAATCGGTACATTGATTCGCCAAGGTTTCTGGTTTGTTTCCTCTGCATTCTTCTGCTCAAGATTGAAGTTCTTATTAGGTTCTTGATTTCTGGTTTTCACAATGCACATAATATGTTTGATTAAATGTTTCAATAAGAAAATGTTCACTATTTTGTTCATCATTCTTGTGAACCTTTTTTAGGATATTGGGGTGATATTTGGACTCAAGATTGGTCATTACTTCAAGATCAGTGTTTGTGATATTTGGGATATTTGATTTGGCGCACGATGTCTTTGAGATCGATTCTGGTCGAGTTAATTTTCCGAGTTATGCTGATGAGTGTTCGGAAAACGACGAAGATTGGTGTTCAGTCCCATAATATGATGAACAAAATCTGCATTGCAACTACATATATGGGACTAAGAACTTCAATATTGATGTCTTGAAGATTGATTTGGTGAGTGTTTGTGAATCTTTTGATGACTGTTGCCAAGTTACTGATGAACGGATATTTGATTTTATTCATCTTTCTTGTTAATGTTTTGATGAGTGTTTGATATGGGTAGATTGATATGTTAAAGAGAGAACAGAGGATTCTTCAAGGAGAAGTAGAACTTTTTAGTTATGTCAAATATGCTGGAAACAACCTCTATTTATAGAGGTTCTCGTGTCTCTTTAAAATGTGCAACACCTGTTCGTAAGCAGTAAGCACTGCTTTGATTAATAATCACCACTCTTTGTCGAAGAGTTATGATGTTATGGACAAATGCTAGGCGTTAGATTAATAAGCAATAGTGATCAACGACACTTATTTAATAACCAAGAAGAGACAACCAGTCTCTGCAAATTCCAAGGGGTGGCTGCTGCCAAAACCAAAAGGTGGCAGCCAATTAATTTGAAATGGTGATCTGCCAATTCGAATTTAATTAGCGATGGTTGCCGAAAGCAACCAAAACCCATCGCTTCACTTTTATTCCTTAGATTCCAAATTTCATGTTTTGAACATTACTGCTACACTCTGATCATCAAGCAACAATTCAAGATGAAAATGAGAGCTGAAAGGAGATGGAATTTGAGAACGAAAAGGTTGAAGTTGTTAGCATATATATCGGGCTAGTACTCTAGGCTTAAGCAGTTACTAGCCATGTAGCTCTTTAACATTTTCAGTTTTACTATAGGAAGGAGGTTTAGGTTTGGAAATATTGATCATTATATCAGTCTTAAGCAGTTAAACTACCATATACTACTTCAGGATGACTAGTACATATATAAAATCACTCAAAGGAAAAGACTTGAATCTTACAATTATTCTCACAAGTAAAAGTTAAAACACAAATTTAAATTGAGATCAATGAAAGAAAAGAAAGAAAAAGAAAGAAGTTTAAATTATCTAAGACTTGGAACAGGGAGGCATGTAAGCAGGCGGTGGGCGAATTTTGGTTTCTTTGGTCTTTCCATTCCTCACTATGAGCACAGTATCCATCCCCCAGCTGGAATGTCTTTCCAAATGACAATGCATAAACCATACTCCTGCAAAATCATAATTAATTAATTAATTAATTTCGTGGTTCCTCTTAACTAAGCACCTTAATACCTCAAATACAGTCATTCACTAGCATTAGAAAGACTATATGTATGTGACATAGTGACGGTGATAGCATGACGCTCAAAATTATAGAACTTACCAGGATTATCGGCTTTAAATCTGATGGTTGCCCATCCATTCTTTGGAACTGCAATGGTGTTTACTTCTGGGGGGTCAACCAAATTGTAGGTCTTGGGCGATGTTGTATGGTTAAAATTGCCGGCACCAGTTCCGACCAAATAGAAGCTGAAACCATGGAGATGCATTGGATGGTTCTCAGGTGCGATGACGTTGGTTCCTTGGAAAATGATCTCAACTCCTTCACCATATTTGATCATTCTCACCCTCGTACCAAAGTTCGGGTATATTGTGTTGTTACCCACGTCTCCAGTGTAGTTGTAAGTATTAGGTGGCTTGTTTGGGAAACTAGTTCTGTAGACTCCATTGTTGCCCCTGTACAAATTAAGAAATAAGGTCTAAGTTTTGATAGGAATAAATAAGGTTAATCAAATTGTTAATTGACAAATATGGGAGTTTTACTTTGATTTTTCTCCATTTCTTATGAGACTAGTTACTTCCACCAATCATTGACCAGAATATAAAGTGCAACTACGTAATTTTTCAATGTACTTAGAGCATGGTCACGTGATGTTCTAAGTTCATTCAAATTATAACTCATAAATAAATGTTCTGTTAATATATTCTAAAAGTGGAACATATCAACCATGTCTACTGTTATTGTCACACATGGAATGATACATGTGGTTGGTGTTCCGTACGTAGTTATAGAAATTTCTCCCACATTGGAAGGCATTAATGCATTTCTTAATTAATTGAACCAAACTTCATGGACCGAAACCTACTATTCCGGAAAACATACACACATGACTGAAAATAGTAGCAATAGCAGCTATCACAACTTAATTAATAATTACGGAAAATGACCAAAATTAACAAAAAACTAGTACGTACCGATAATATGCTTGCAGTACATCAACAGATGGAATCACGAAACTGACGTTGTTTAAGCTTGCAGAAAGCGCATTTCCATTCGGGCCTTTACATGAAGAATTAGCACAAATTCTTTCATTGATTGCAATAGTCATATAGATCCTGGAATGAATTTTTAATGGGACATCAATAGGGTGCTCTTTGCTTGCCAATGCCCTGATTTGCTTAGTGAAGTTATCAGCAGCTGTGTCATCGGCTTCCAACGGAAGGGTTGGAAAGGGAGTGGTTGATGGGGTGCTGTAGTTGCCGTTGTATTGAACAATTGCAGTGGTGGTGCTGTTGTTATGTGAAACGCCAGTTCCATCCATAAAAGGATGAGAAGCCATGTAATAATGGCTGGGAGGTTGGTTTGCGGTGACTAAAATGTCCATGGTTTGGCCTGGAGTTATCATGATGTAAGAGGTGGTTATAGGTTTTATGTATGCAGCGTCTTGTGCTACGACTGTGAGGTTGTGGTTCGCGATGGCGAAGAACTGTTCTTCGTTCATCACCGCGTTAATTACCCGAAGAAGATAGGTCTTACCGTAATCAACAATCCATCGGTATGTTGTCTCTGCATGCAATAACACGAAATCCATTAAGTTGTACTTGGTTTACAAAAATCACTACAAACCCTAACGGATGATGCATGTGAAAGTTTATGTTGGTTGCAGAAATATATTATGTTTAGGAGGAATCAAAACACTTTGTACTGTACCAGATAAAGCTAAACTTACTTTTAATTTAGGAGATTATTTTGGCAATGACGTATAGAGAGTTTATCGCTTAATGTTTACTTGCAAAGACCAAATAAAGCTAAACTTACTTTTAATTTTGGGAGCCGTTTTCCCTTGAAATTTTTTATGCAATATATTTCCTCTATATATATTCTATTCTGGACGAAATCAAAATGTCTATTAAGTTTTTAAGAAATTTGATGTTCTTTTTTATAGATGGTTTTTTGACCAACCAAAATGATAGATTAGGGTTTGCAATTTTTCTTCAATAGCCCAAACTACTAAGCAATACGAAAAATTGCAGTCATAACTAAATTGAAAAAAAATATTTTTTATTTTATGAAAAAATTATTGTATACTTGACAAACACTTCAATGTAAATAAAGAAAACCACATGCACCAAATATGTATAGTGATTTGGTCACAAAAAAAGCGAAGTTTGAATAATGATTTTCCATCGTTTTCTTCCGACTCAGCGTTCAATATATTTTGCCAACTGAACAAGAAGTTAGAAAAGCCAATGAGCATCTCTTTGTATCTCTTTGTATGTTATTATGTAACATAAACAACTTCTAGTCTTCATGATTTACGCGGATCGTAGTGTTATAATTTATATACTATCATCCTCAATGTCAACTCTAATTGGAAACCGACAACTCTTGCTTTTAGAACTAACATATATAGTAATAACATCGAATGAATAAATAAGATAAGATTTATATTATTAAACTAGATTAAGCTGGACCTTTAATTAGTCTTACCATTGGAACAACTATATAAATCTCCAGGCTGTCCGTTAATTGTGAAGGCATCTGAAATGTTTGGATCGCCACCTGTTGAGAGAGCCTCTTCTATTATTTCCATCACATCTCCCTTAAACCATGATCCTGCCGGCAGATGATCGAAATTGGATGCTTAGTTTTAATATTAATATATGTATTACAATCTAATAATTTACCTACTCTAGGATAAATCCAATGGTTCAACTGTAAGATGTAACATTTTTGCCCCACAAGGCCACAATAATGGTTTATTTTTTCATAATAAGAAGAAAATTCACTTTTTCTGATCTGGCGTGCCACATCACGTTGTAGTTATGGCAGGCAAGTAAGCAAACGCAAGAAAGACTAACAAACAACGACTTTTGTATGTTAATATAATTATTAAAAAAAAAAAAATTTCAACGGATCCTCAAAATAAAAATGCCTTTCCAACGATGAATACAAAGAAGGAGAATGAGAGTGTCTTTTGGAAGGTTCTATGGAATAAACAGTATACGCATTACATCCCAAATCCAGTCATATCATTCTTCGAATCATGTGACGTTCTACAAGTGATAAGACCAGATAGCCCTGATGATTACTTAACCACTAAACCATAAATTAAGTACGTATACTAGAATGAACAGATCTGACAATACAGAAAGTAATGTGAATGTTGGAATATAAATAAAGGAAAACTAATGAAAATGATTTGAAAATTTTAAGTTTTAACTATAAGGATAAAATAAAGGGTAAAGTGAATAGTATTAGGATTGACTTTTTAGTATAAAGATGTGGTTTTTCGTTAAAGTAAATAATACCGAAATTTTTTCGTTAAAATCCTCTAAAAATAAATCTTTTCATATTATATTCAGTAAAATACTTGCAATTAACAATTAATCAATAAAGTTATTTAGACATACAAAAATAAATCACTTTCTCAATACAGATGTTATCGACCCTCTTGTATTTCAAATTCACATTTACTAAAAACAGAATTTGGCTTGGGTACATGGATTTGCTGAATGCATTCATCATTTAACTAAAAACATCTAAAAAGAGAGAATATCATATATGAATAGATATTAAAACAGTGAAAGTACCAAGAATGACTGTTTCTTGTGCATCTGGTGTTGCAAATGGATAAGTGGTGCCGGCAGCCGGTAGAATAACAATGGCACCATAGACGGTGGCGCGTGTCCAGTCACTATGAGAATGCCACCATAATGTTCCTTCTTCACTGGAGAATATAACTTCGTACGTGAAGTTTGTTCCTGGTTGAATAGGGCACTGAGTGATATTCTCAGGTCCATCTGACCATGGATTTCTTGGTTGCTTCACTCCATGCCTATACAAATTAAACAATATATTGAGCAGTCAATTTAAATTGGAAGGTTCTGTTTTTGTGTTTGTTTAAGAAACCAAAAACAAACCAAGCTAAAAGCCATAAAAGCCATACATACAAATTCTTCTATGGATACACAACAATACAAAAATAAATTTTAACTATTGATGGGAATTCATCTAACGTATACAAAAGTCAGAAGACCCAAGTTTAAGGTGTTCCTTCACCCTCTAGTCCTTGAGTTCTTTTATTTTCTGTCGAATGATATATAATATTCTAAGGGGTGGGGTGAGGGAACAAAGTGTTATCAGACTTGCTATTTACAAAATTCAAACCTAAAACTTTCTACTTAAAAGTGAAGAGGGCTACATTAGTCTCAATCGATCTAAATTCCAAATGAACTTAGCTAGCTAGCTAGCTATCAAGTATCCATATTATTTTTCCACCGAACTTATTATTCATCGTTCTTTTTCATTTTTAGTAAAATATCTACCAAGCTAAGCTTTCTATCTTTCAACTACAATGACTCTGGTCAATATCCAAAAAACACGCGCACACACAGAGAGCTAGCTGGTCTGCAATTAGGGGAGGCTGCAAGCGAAGTTTACCAGTGAATGGTGAGACCGTAATATCCTTGGTTGTGGACATTGATAAAAGCGGTGTCTCCTCTGTTAACAGTGATGGTTGGCCCTGGAAGAGTTCCATTCACAGTTAAGATGCTCTTTGTGCTACAAAGCCTTGTAAAATTTGTTTCTTGCACCTGCACAATATCATAGTAACTAGTCAATAACATTGTTGAGTGAAATACGCAGAAAAGATCTGAGAACATTGATTATATATTTATCACAAAAATAGAAGCCAAAAAGCATATAAAAAAAATTCCCGTATTACCATGCCGAAAATATAAAAAAAATAGACATTTTCTTATATACACCGACATATTACACTAAGGAGTGAGTGACTTGGACAAATGTTACTAACTTGGTTCGAACTCGGTATTAACAAGAATCAAATATATCACCTCTCAAAATAAAAAGTTGCATGCAGTGTATGTAGCAAGCACTTACAATGAAATCATAATAATGGATAGCGCCATTAGCCTTGCTCAGGAAAATAAACCCTATGACAGCTAAGACCAGGAAACCCATGTTTATAGTTCTCCATTTTCAGGTGTTTGTCTGAAACCTAACTATCCACCCTGTGTCCTTCAGGTCGCCCTTGAGATGTTTTGCGAGTTGGATCTCCTCTCGCCTGCAATTTATAGAACAAGACTTCGTACCAAGTTGCTTATTTGATTAGTTAGTACGACTCCCTCCCACGATTGAACATTTCAATTTTTACGTACCTAACAAATAAAAAAAAAAACCACTAACACATGAAAAACGGAGTGTACAAGGCAAGGAAAACATAGGTGCTTATTCTAATGCAACTATGCTTTGCTGGTAACAACTTTAGGCCCTAATACTTGAATAACAAGACTAACATTGGTCCAGTAATAGTTTTGAATCTTTCTCCCTCCCCTTTCCTTTTTTTTTTTCCATTCCTTGGTATAGTAGTGTTTGAATCCTTGTAATATAACTTTTATACTTTTTTTCAATTAAGTACTGCTACTGTATGGATTTAACAAATTTTATGTATGAAGTGTTAAGAGTATGAATCTCATTGCATTCAAGAAAGAAGGGATATTGCATATGCTTATAAGTAACTGGGCTACTCTCAACGTTACCAATTGGCTTTATGGTTGGAACCCAAATTTTCTTCATGGTATAAGAACAGTTTGTTTTACGTACATGTGAAATTCAATGGTCACACGTGCTCCACATCACTCCATTTGTGTTGTCCATCCTGTTCAGCTTGAAAATTCGTCACGAGTGAGGAGGCATGTTGAGAGTAAATGAATCTACCTTGGGAAAGAATGAACCTTGAATGTGTTTATAAATAGTTGGACAACTTCTTATATCCTCAATTAGCTATATGGTGAAACTCCTAATTTCTTTAGAAGTTAATTCATATTAGTCTAAACAAAATAAGAATTTTTAGCCTCTCGAGTATAAACTTTATGTATGACCTGGAAATCAGTATCATCTGATTTAATTAATTGAACAACTTGAATAACGACCTGCTAATCCTTGGCTTGGATCGTAACTTTGCAAGGTAGTATGCATATATATTCTTTTGCCATGAAATCACGCGCCTCTTGATGAAGATCAAATAGGCAGTTGAACTGCTCATGGCTTTGAGGGCTGAGTCCAAAAATGCACTCTCCTCACATTACCTGCTCCATTTGCGCATTACATTATACTTAATGACATTCACTATGTAGCTTAGCCAATTTTCTTTAACAAAAGGTCTTTTTCTATAAACAGGCTTTATATTACTAAAATTAGACGACTATATTTTCGTCAAAAAAAAAATATATACCAGGTCAAGCACCGACAATCCAGAAAAACAGCCGTTTGGCCCGTTTTTACTGTTATTAAACCTAAAACAACTTATTTCTACACTTCTACTAAATTCAAAAGGACTATATAGCTCTTAGATGATCAGATATAGTATTATTTGTTTCGGACAGCTGCGCCAATATTTTATTTGTTAAAATTGCTTGGTCACTCGTACTACTCCTTTACTGTTTTCAAAAGATGAGAAAGTCAATCTATATCCTAAAATCCAAATATTCTAAAGCATTGTTCATAAGCACGGTGCACTTCTGAAAATGAATTTGGATCGTCTATTTTTTTGGCATTTTGCACGTAAACAATCCGTCCATTTCATTTTTTTTGTCTCCTCACTTTCTTAGCATCGTTCTCTCTCTCTCTCTCTCTCTCTCTCTCTTTTCTAGAGCTGCACAAGTCCAACCCCCACAAATTATGGTGATGACACTGGACTTTTACCAACAAAACACGAAAATGCCCTCATTACATTGGCAAGGCCCATGTACATCCGTTCCACATGCAGTTCAACCTTAAGAAGACATGAGCTGCTAACTACGACTTCTCCAAGCTCATGCACATGGTAAGGAGAAAAGTCAAAGGTTTTAAAGGTAAGATTAATCACCAAATCCTATCAGTTAAAACTCTCATCATTGAACACCAACTCAATCAAGCAAGAAATCACCATCAAATCCAATCAAGGATTTCACGAGATAATTCCAAGATATTATTAATTAAATAATATCTTTGAGATAATTATCAAGGATTTCATGAGATAATTCCAACCAATGACACAACTTGGCCAACTGAACGTCGACACATGTGGTCGACTATCTCGCTATGAGTACCCCATTCTCCACCAATTTCTTGTAAGCTTTTGATATGCAATTAAGCCCTAAACTCACACTTTTCAAAAAAACTGACTTAGGTATCAGAGACCTAGTTAGCCAAACTCTCATCCCCCCACCACAGTAGGCACGTGGCTTTGGTCATTGATCAAATGTATTTACTTGATATGTTGGTAAAAATTGGGAACTCCGAAGTTAAGCGAGTAGCGCACGAGAGCACTCCCATGATGGGTGACCCATCGGGAAGTTCTCGTGTGAGTTCCCAGAAACAAAACTGTGAGGGCGTGGTTGGGGCCCAAAGCGGACAATATCGTGCTACGGTGGTGGAGCGGCCCCGGGAAGTGATCCGCCTCAGGCCGGGATGTGACAATTTGGTATCAGAGCCTAACCCTGGTCGTGGTGTGCCGACGAGGACGTCGGGCCCCTAAGGGGGGTGGATTGTGGCATCCCACATCACCCAGGGGAGTGATCCTTGTATGTATGTTCTCATTCCTACCTAGCACGAGGCCTTTTGGGGCTCACTGGCTTCGGGTTCCATAGGAACTTCGAAGTTAAGTGAGTAGCGCACGAGAGCATTCCCAGGATGGGTGACCCATCGGGAAGTTCTCGTGTGAGTTCCCAGAAACAAAACCGTGAGGGCGTGGTCGGGGCCCAAAGCGGACAATATCGTGCTACAGTGGTGGAGCGGGCCCAGGAAGTGATCCGCCCCGGGCCAGGATGTGACAATTTGGTATCAGAGCCTAACCCTAGTCGTGGTGTGCCGACGAGGACGTCAGGCCCCTAAGGGGGTGGATTGTGACATCCCACATCACCCAGGGGAGTGATCCTTGTATGTATGTTCTCATTCCTACCTAGCACGAGGCCTTTTGGGAGCTCACTGGCTTCGGGTTCCATGGGAACTCCGAAGTTAAGCGAGTAGCGCACGAGAGCACTCCCAGGATGGGTGACCCATCGGGAAGTTCTCGTGTGAGTTCCCAGAAACAAAACCGTGAGGGCGTGGTCGGGGCCCAAAGTGGACAATATCGTGCTACGGTGGTGGAGCGGGCCCGGAAAGTGATCCGCCCCGGGCCGGGATGTGACACATGACCTGGAGTGTGGCGTATAATGACTACACTAGGTAATAATTAAGGATATATTTGGGTGAGGAACTTACAACTCAAGGGATTGAAGCTAGAATATTAAAGAATGGATGACAAAAAGGGAATACAAAATGTCATCCACAACCATTACATAAGCATGTGAGAATGGTTTTGTAAAATGACTTTTATTAAGTACGAATTTGTAAATTCATCTTATATGCCTTTGTATTGTACATGGATAACATAATTCTCTCTAACGTTTTTGCACGCAATCATCCATCAAATTAAAAGATACCAGTACAATTTTCTTTAAAAGGTGTTGTAGACCGACCCTAATTATAATTTCCAAACCACTTCGCAAAATGGTAAATGAAATAAAACAAAATAAGGGGAAAATGTATCTAGCCATCCGCCTTAAAAATTGGGACATGATAAAAAAGAATTGCATTGAAATATTCCATGCTCTTAAGGCTATAGCAACCACCACTTGGCTAATTTTCTGGTCCAATTGCAATATTCTGAGTGTGCCAATGGAGTGCACGCATTATACAAAAGTGTGATGATGGATATCCTTAGACGCGTCATTGCTTTTCATATAAATAAAGACCGAAATTTAATTTGATTTTCTAAGAGCCGCCTTGACAAAACTGCCTGGATTGAACTATATAAGGATTTTGTTATGCAATGAAAAGGAAGCGTGTAAACTTTTAAGGTTTGACAAACGCAGAATGCTTCATTTGCTTAGTTGAAGCCAGAGTTTTGTCATCCAAGCAATTTAATGGCCTTAATAATAGATCTTGATTCTCATGTGAAATGTTTCTTATCATTTATTGGTAACAAATTAAAGCTAGCCTGCCCAAAATGCATTCCCTTGCTCCCAACTTTACTCTCGGTTCAAATAAAAAAAAAAAAAATAGGTGGAACCAACTATATATGGGACAGATCAAACGCGTTAGTTATTAACACAATTTGATATTTATTCTCTTCGATCAACAAAATTTGGTATGTGTTCACCCTACGAACCAATACGAAACTTTATCTCAAAATGTCTCGTTGCAATGTAAAGAGATATTTCATTGAGTGTATTTACTGTTACAGACCTATTCTCTAACGGGAATCCTTTTTATATGTAAAAATAAAGATTAGTTGTGAAGCCCAGTTTTGTATTGAATTTTAACTATCCCGAATCATCAATTAGTCTGCATTCATAAATCATCTTTGCAGAAAAATCAATTCAATCCAAAACAACTTACTCATTAGGATGTCATTATAAAATTTCAATGTTTTTTAAAACACAGTGTTCAACCATTTCTTCGAACTCAATTAGATGTCGCAAACATTTTTTATTTGATTAATATTTTACAAAGGTGAGGTATGAAATACAACTTAGACAATAGACATTTCATATCATTAAAAAAAATTTGAATCCCTTTAGAGAATGAGTTTGTTCACTGTTACGCAGCCACGATATAATGTAACAGTAATTTTATATACTTTATCTACAAAATTCTTATTAGTAACCAATATGTATTGATCTAGTTTTTAGTTTTACAATATTATGTGTGTGTATATAGCAAGACCACAAAGGATACTAATATACTTTTTCCCTGTGTCCAAGTTATGTGTGTGTGGGCGCCCGCGCGCATGTGTGTGTGGACAAATAGCGAGAGTACTGCAAGACTGGTGAATAATTTTAATTTTGTCCAAGTTCTACTTGGACAAATTATATGTTATATAGATAGTAGCTAAACCTTATCAGAAGACGCAAATTTTATGTATGTATTTCTTCAAAAGCATGGGTTGTGATAACGTGATCAATATTCATTACTAAAACTTTAGAAGAAAATCTACATACT